TTCAGTCCGTTATTACACTCTTAAATCCTACTACTTATTCCTGCGTCTTTTGTGATCTTACAAAGCTTCAAACGACGCGTCGACTATTAAATAAATCGTCGACGTAATCGTGGCAGCCCTACTGCAGAGACTCAAGCACATGCACAGGTCTCTGATGGGATGGATTTTCTGTTTTGGGAGTAATATTTTGAAAATGCTCCAGAGATGCCTTAATGTTTTCTGCTGTATTGCATTTTCTCATCTGCACTGTTTTCTCTAGTTGCTGTGGATTGATCTCTTGTGGTCTCTGTAGTGTTTGTGGAAGTTTGCAGGGCTTAAATTTGGGGGCAAATATTTAAAAGTGACAACAAACCTCCTGTTTGTCTGATCCAGGCGTACTTGAACAGCGACGCTCTGAGTCGCTTCCCAGAAATCGAGCTTTACGAAGCAGTGCAGGCGTGGCTGCGGCACGACCGGCGGCGCTGGAGGCACACGGACACCATCGTGCAGTCCATCCGCTTCTGTCTCATGACCCCGGCCAACATCTTTGAGAAGGTGAGCGCTGCTTTCTGACCGATGTGGACGGTGACGTTTGGTTTTTTTGTTTTCGTTTCTTCGCGTTGGTCACTGTAGCGACGTTAAGCCTACAGCCAGCCCCATAATTCACAGCTTTCCTCCACTCAGGTGAAGACGTCGGAGTTCTACCGTTACTCCAGGCAGCTGCGGCAGGAGGTCGATCAGGCTCTCAGCTACTTTCATGATGTCAACCAGCAGCCTCTGGTGGAGACGCGCTCCAACCGCATCCGCTCCGTCCGCCCGCAGACGGCCGTGTTCAGGGGAATGATTGGCCACAGCATGGTCAACAGCAAGATCCTCCTGCTGCAGCGTCCAAAGGTAGCCGCTCGTTTACCTACATGGAAGGAAGCGTACACTTTTTGTGCGCTTCCTGTCCGACACGTCTATCTTGCCTCCCTTTCTGAGCGCTCCTCGTCCCATCGGCTGTTGGGGAGAATATCTCCGAGCTGCCTCGCCGAGCCTCCTTTAAAGTTCAGGATGGAGTGTTTGGATCTAACTGGTTAACTGTGTCTCAGGTGTGGTGGGAGCTGGAGGGACCTCAGGTGCCGCTGCGACCCGACTGCCTGGCCATCGTCAACAACTTCGCCTTCCTGCTGGGCGGAGAGGAGCTGGGGCCCGACGGTGAATTTCACGCCTCCTCTAAAGTGTACCGCTACGACCCTCGACAGAACTCGTGGCTACGCATGGCGGACATGTCTGTGCCCAGGTGAGAGAACTCCGAGGTCACGGCTGCATAGCGAGGAGCCGATTTCCTCGCCGACCTTCTTCTGAGTTGTTTGTTTGTCGTTCGCAGGTCAGAGTTCGCCGTGGGCGTCATTGGAAAGTTTATTTACGCCGTGGCGGGCCGCACGCGAGACGAGACCTTCTACTCCACGGAGCGATACGACATCACAGAGGACCGCTGGGAGTTCGTGGACCCGTACCCCGTCAACAAGTACGGCCACGAGGGAACCGTCCTGAACGGGAAACTGTACATCACGGGCGGCATCACCTCCTCCTCCACCTCCAAACAGGTGTGCGTGTTCGATCCGGGCCGGGAAGCAGGAGGTGGGGGCGGAGGGGGGAGCGCGGGCGGGTCGGACTCACACAGGACACGCGCTGGCCGCGGCCCGCTGCTGCCCGGCACCCACGCCAGCTGCTGGGAGAACAAATCTAAAATGAACTACGCCCGCTGCTTCCACAAGATGATCTCTCACAACGGGAAGCTGTACGTGTTCGGAGGCGTGTGCGTGATCCTGCGGGCGTCCTTCGAGTCGCAGGGCTGCCCGTCCACGGAGGTGTACAACCCAGAGACTGACGAGTGGACCATCCTCGCCTCCATGCCCATCGGGCGCAGCGGTCACGGGGTGGCGGTGCTGGACAGGCAGATCATGGTGCTGGGCGGTCTGTGTTACAACGGCCATTACAGTGACTCCATCCTCACGTTCGACCCAGAGGAAAACAAGTGGAAGGAGGACGAGTATCCCAGGATGCCTTGCAAACTGGACGGTCTGCAGGTGTGCAGTCTGCACTTCCCAGAGTACGTGCTAGAGCACGTGAGACGCTGCAGCTGAGGTCTGCTCCACCGCACGCCTCCTTTTATAGAAACGCACCGTCACGGACTGAAGTTTCCTGCTGAGGGGTGGGGGGGCGGGATCAGGTGTTTACAGGTGGGAGACTACAGGCTTTTAAACTGGAGACCAGCACTTACCTTAAGGTGAGGAAAATGGCTGGGGCCATAGCGTTGCTCTTCCTAAACGAAGGAAGCAGCAGTCAAAGCGTGGCGCGCGAGACGCCACCCGTGAACATTTTTAGCTTTCTCAGAAAATACAGGAAAAAGTAATCGTAAGGAAAGAAAAATGGTTTCATTCTGCCGGTTTATGTTCGGACTATGGTCAGCTTCCTGTTCTACTTCTCACCTTCTGTATTTAGGCGCTCCGGTCAGGCTTACCGCAGAAACGCACTGGAAGCGCCCGATTCTGATGCACCAGTCGAACAAACCTGCACCACAAATCCTACTTGAATTAGGTTCGTTTCTTTTGACGCCATCTGTTAGTGAGTGATTATATCAAACACTGGAAAAAGCCCTATAAATATATAACAACAGACATACAGTCGGGTGTAGAAACAAGCTGTAACACTGTATACACTGTAGTGTAGTCATTTTAGAGCCTCTCCAAATATACAACTGTAGACGCTTTAACCTGCTAACGGCTATCAGCTGTTATAAATCCGCTTCCAGTGCGTTCCAGCTTTCAGTCCTAATTCAGCTCTTTGCTCCCAGATATCATCAAACTACGCTCATGTTCATCCAGCACAGCATCACTGTCCTCCTCTTCCTTCCTGTCTCACAGTTTGAGAGTAAATGTATCCTGACAGTGATGATGATGATGGACTCACACAGCTTTACTCACTCTCATCTACATTCCCTGCACTTTATTGGTTGTTATTGTGTGCAAACGCACAATTTTTCCCTCCCAGCGGCTGAATGTGCTGTAATGCTGGAGACGCGTGTCTGAAATTAACTTTATGGCTGACAAGTCAAGACTGACTAAACGAGTTGAAACATTTGAGAAACAATGGACCTCATGCAAGAACATTTTAATGCATTATGCTGATGATAAAGGACCAGAAACGATTATAAAACCATTAACCAGAGTGATGTTGTCAGAAGTACTGTTAGCTGTATGAAAAATGAGTTTTGAGGCTGAATATCAAACTCTGAAGTAGTTTTCTTGTTAAGCATAAAAATTGACATGATTGTTCCCACTCAACATTTAAAATACAGTGCACCCTGTCTTTGAACAATATTCCGTTTTAACCTCTTTGAGAAACAATAGCTTGTTTATTACCCTTACAGCCAAGTTTCTGCCACTTACCAAATACATTTGAATATATGACTTAAGGGTCACATGAAATTTCTTAATGCTGTTGAGATCTGCTAAGCTTACTGGTATAACTACAATCCGGTTTAGCTAAGGCTAGCTCTGACAATATTAGCTGGTGTATCAGCACCTAGCATTATATCCTACTGAGTTAAGTAGTACATTTAACTGTTGTTTTGTAATGCATATTACAGTTGCATCATTGGTGATTTTTAAAGACACTTTAAATTACAACTTGCATGAAAATACCAAAAATAAGAGAATATCTATTCAGATTTATGCAAACTAGCATTAGCCACAGTTTGACTGACTTTTATCTCTTTCTGTTCTAAACTGGTTTAGCTGCAGTCAAATGATCTTTAAACTCATTAAAATGAATGGTAATTTCCAGATGACAAATAGGAGAATATTTATACCTATCTCTATTCAGGCTTTAAGGTTAGCTGCTATTACAACAGCAGCTAGCTTTTTACTGTTTAAGCCCCCATAACCTTAGCAGTGCTAACTACCTAGTTAACCATCTATGGAACCTACTAAAAGCTGCTTAGTTAACTGGTGTTCGCAGGAGTTTAGCTCCTTTAACTTTATTATGAACTTATTAAAATGGTCTCTGTAACATATTAAATATCAAACTAAACAACCAAAATGTTAGTCTTAGACAGCAACACAGGGTTTTAACTTTAGCTAAGATTAGCCTCGGCTAACTGAAGATGGCCATCTGCCTTTGGCTGTCTAATTGGTTTTCTTTCCAAAGCTGTAAATGTATTTATCACTTACAGTGGGGAAAAAAGTAGTTTAAGAAAGATGAACCATAAAAATAAGTCCAAAAGTAAATTTTCTGTTTTACAGCATTGCCAAACTAATTGGTGTTAGCTTGAGACGTGGTTTGTTTCAATTGTGTCATTTCTATGGAAGGTTGTTTCTACAACTTGAAGGGAGAAAATCCTATAAAAATGAATATAAATCTGTATTTTTGGTCATCCCAAAACTTACTGAATATTTATTACTTAAATCTTCAAGTTTGGTATCACAACATTTTTGACTTGCTTAAAAGTAACTTAAAAATGTCTAACTTGGACATTTAGACAAAATTTCAAGATACCGAAGTGAAATTTTGTTGCAAGTTGAAATTTTTACTTTGTTCAATCCGGCAGTTTCTTGTTTTGTTTTTTTTTTGTTTTGTTTTGTTGTTTGTTTGTTTTTTTGGTTGGTTTTTTTTGGTTGGTTTTTTTGTTTTGTTTTGTTTTTCAGGGGTAAAAATAAGCTTCCATAGATTGCACATCTCACAATGAAGAATAATGAAATACAGAAGTAGTAAAATATATTGTTATATTTAAATATTTATAATTAATAAAAAAAGATCTTTACGCGAAAGTAGCTGCGGCTAACTCAGACTCTAACTGTAGCTTTGTAGTTACTATGCTTTTGTTTATAATCTATTCCATGAAATTGAGGTAGCAATGACCACAAAGGGAAAAATTGATGGCAGCCATGATGGCTACCCTTATCGGGAGTTTAGCTAACAGTAAGACTTAGCTTTAGCATTAGTAAGGTGACCCATGGCTTTTTCAGCAGCTAGCTTTCTCCTGAGTTTAGCAATCTGGTTTGCTGCAAAAATACACTTTTTCTAGCCGTTTGTTGTAAATGTAAATTTAAAAAGCTATTTTCTTAACAAAGGACACACTTATATTGCACATTTTTGTATATACAATGAAAAAGATCAAATCAAAACCATGACAGCTGATCATATATGTATTTAATGTCTTGATTTACTGTTCGCACCCCAAAGATTCTTTCAAATCTGCTTCTATTCGTGTTAGAGGTTCTTGCTTCAGGTTCATTGTTTCTTTGGTCGGTTTACACACTTCATATTTTATCTCTGCAGACAAGATCTGTGTTTCGATGTAAGCTGCAAACACTGGAGGTCAGTATAACCAAAGCATTAAGCTGTGAAAGAATCAAACAGTTACCAGCCAGTGTTTAAATGACTTGCACCAGTGGTGTGTTCATTTCAGACATTAAAGGTTTCGCCTTCCCCAGCTGATGCAAACTCCGTCTTTGTAGCTTGCACGTCTCAGCAGTGGGACGCCTCGATCCTGCAGCCCAGTAAGCCGTGCTCGATGACCAGCTCCGTGCTTGTATTGTTTTTATTTTTGTCTTTTTTGTTTTCATGAGCCAACTGTGAAAAAGGGCTAGAGCACACACTGATGCAGTTTTGTCTGTTAGCTGTATATTTAAGTTATTTATTTTCTACAGGTATTGCTTTTCACTGAGCTATGCAGTAACAGTTGTAGGATTATTTATTATGACGAGACTTCATCATAAGTCGTGTTGTTTTCAGGTCGTACCTCATCGTCTGTCCTTATTTCATACTCGGGCCGTCTGTCTTCTCTGCATGTGGCTCATCGACGGATGCTCTGAGAGGTTTTTCTTTCAGTCTTAAGGCGTACTTTAAGTATTGCAGCACCTTTGCATTTTCCTGTATGCAAGTACTCAGAGTGTCATACTTCGCGTTCCTCTTCTTGTAGCAGCGTCAGGCTGTCCACAAATCTCTCGAGTCCTGAGCTGCAGCTTTAACAGTCTCTGCAAAGCCACTTTGGTTTCTTTGGTGGGGACATAATCCCCAAATGGTTGAAAATCTTCCCCCACCTACACGCCTCTGCAGCAGGCGAGAGGCGTGTCCTTGCAGTAGATAATTTACGTCGCATTTCATCTCTTTGTTGACATTTCAAAAGCTCGAGTCAGCAGATTTAGGACATTTTTGCTGCAGAGGTTAATGTTTTTTTTTTTTTTAAATCAGCTAGACGTTGCAGCCATATCTCTGTACCAACAAGTCATTTAACAACTGATTTGGACACTTTAACCCAATCAAACTCCTTTAAAAATTGAAGTTGAAGACCAAACAATAACACAAAATAAACTTGTTTTGCTTTTAAGTTCTGTAAACAGTTCAGTGCTTCAGATGTTTTAAAACTCTTGTGCTCTCTTTACTTTAGCTCAGCGCTTCTCAAACTGTGGGGCAGGCCCCACTGATGGGCCACAGAGACACCGCATGAAGGGCAAGGATGATGAGAAGCAAAATAGGAAGTGATTCTAAGCTGAATAAAATATTTTTTGTAAGCAAATAAAACGGCGTAGATCGATTGAATTTCAAATTGGGTCCCTTTCTACTGTTAGTGATTTTAAGGACCTCCTAAATTTAAGTGCATGGTTCTGCTGTCTTAACTGAGGCAGGAAAATGAATCTTTTCATTAACTGCTCCTCCCTTCACATCTCCTCCGTGTCCCTATACTCTGCAGCTGATACCTTAAACGTCATGTGCCACTGCAGTCTGCTCGCTGCTCTTCCTCTTCTTCCTCCTTCTCTCATGTCGCCATTTGAAGAAGAAACTTGTAACCAATAAAGTACTACTGTCCCAATTCGAGGCACATCCAGTCATAGCGCAGCATCCTTTAGTCCACCAGTCTGTCAGTAGGAAAACAGAGTAGAGGATTAAAAAAAGGCATACCTTGCTACAACGACTGTATCTGAAAAAGAAAGTAAAATCAGATTAACATATCTTATAATCTGAGTAGAAACTCTTTGGAAATGATTTGTAACTTCTTTCCAGAAATAAATGTTCATATTGGTCAACTTTCACCTGCATTTGTGCTTTTCTGACTCTGTTTACTTTGTCTACATGACATTTCCCCCATTACAGGTTAATGAAGCCAGTTGAAGAATGAAAATGAATTAAAACCTGCATGCAGGTTTATTATAATTATTATTAAAAAAATCCATGCAATATGCAAATATCAGCTGATATTTGTATGTACATAATTATGACTGAAGTTGTTTATTTACTTTACAATGTTTCAGCTGAGGCTGACAGAAAAAATGGATGTAAATACATGTGATTATTAAAATATATCAGTCACAACATAAAATTAGGAACTAACTGGAGAAGTGGGCGTCCCAGAAGCTCAACCTGTATCAGTCCTTGAGATAAGTTTAGTATTTTACCCCGCTTTTTTTTTTTTTTTGAGGTGTTTTTTTTTTTTCGTTTCACCCCTTAGGGCGGGAAGTTAGGGGCTTTGGTTGGGTTGGGTTTTTGGGTTGTTGGCCCTTGTTGGGTTGGTGTTTCCCTGATTCCCCCACCCATTAGTATTTTATTTTGTTTATTTTTTTACATTATTACTTTTAAATGTTGTTATTTTTGTTTTACTTAGTTTTATTTTATTCGATTTTATTGTACCTAAATTAATTCAAATATTTTTAATATGTTTATGTCTATCGTAGGCTCCTGGAGCATTACGCATGCGCCTCTTTCCTCTGGCTTGCCGTAGAAAAGCGAAAGTCATCCAATAAGGAGCATGTCATATGCTAGATTGGTGAGTTTTATTCATCGTGTTCATCGTTTGTCACACGTAAAGTCATCCCGTTTTAAGTACTGTCTCTATGTTGTCGAAACTTGAGGTTTTAAAAACAAAACGACAATGAAAAGTCAGTTAAACGATGCTAGGCTAATTGAAAGCTAACCTTAGCATTGTGTTAGCTCCTCCGTATAACAAACAGCCATTAATCATGAGGAGACGCCGAAACTCCTTTTTGTGTTCCTGTTTTAGTGTTTTATATCTGAATTCGTGTTAAATACGTGTAACTGACACCCCGGAGTCATCCACTGTATCACTGCGTGTCTAACCGGTGTGTTTACTATGCTTGTTTGCCGCCAGGTGTCGCTATGTGCCGCGGCTCCGGGGCTGGCGGCCCTGCTGAGCGGCTCGGTGCTGGCTGCAGGTGAGGGGAAGAAGAAGAGCAGCCAGCCGCCTCTGAGCATCGAGGAGGTGGGTTCAGACAGAGCCTTTCTAAAGACTTTGTCTTACTTTGTTTGTGACTTTGTTTACATCATGTTTATGACGTAGTGCACACAGCCATAGAGGTCTGGATCAGAGTCAGAGCTGACCCTGGAGGGACAGCTTCTACATGGCAGAGCTCCAGAAGGTCACATTCTGTATTTGTTTCAGCTGCCGTCTCTGTACACCAGCCCTGAAGCAGCGGTGGCCCAGTACGTAGAGCCAGAGGCCGGGCCGGTGGAGCAGAGGGTGGCCTCACTGAGGAAATGGGCAGAACCATACACGAGCCAGTGTCAGGTTTGTTTACCTAACCTCAGGTGGAAAACTCAAGAGAAACAGAAAATTAGTCAACCTTATGATGAACATGGACATCTGTCCAAAGCAAGCAGCACTTTACATATTAAATTATATTTGACCTATAAGTACAGATTTTATTTACTTTCAGACTGTGGCAGATCAGTTCTTATAGATTTTTGTGCTGATGATGTGTTTCTGGAAGAGAAGCTGTCACGCGGCCTAAGCTGTTGTGCTCCTGTTGTTCTCGACAGTCTCCACGAGCCTGTGGCTTTCTTTCTAATAAAGGACATTGTGGGATCCTTTTTTCTTCCTCTCTGCCACCGTTGCAGAAACATTCCCACTGAATCCAAACAGCTCGTGTTGCCTCAGAGGAGGCGGCATTTCTGTTTCTGTGAGGTTTGTGGCCTTGAGGTGAAGACGTGCAACAAAGACATGACGACCAGTAACTGGTTGCTTCCAGAGAGACGCCTGGGAACTTGTCTTTGAAATTTCTTTGCTTTCTGTTCTCCTTTCGTTGATCTTTTTCTTGGTTTTCTTTCTGTTTTTCTCTCCCTTCCTCTTGTTGTTCTTTTTTCTCTCTACCGCCGTGCTTCCTCACCTTTAAGCCTTCCAACCATCCTCCTTTCTTTCTGTCCTGCTGTTCTTCCTTTCCTACTGACATCCATCCTTCCTTCCAGTCATTATTCCTTCCTTCCTCCTTTCTTACCAGCTGTGCTTCCTTACTTCTGTCCTTCCATTCCTTCTTTTGTTCCTTACATCCATGATCCTGCTATCTTTCACCCATCATTCCTTCCATCGGTCCTTATATCCATCCTTTCTTCTATCCTTCCATCCATCCTTCATTAACCTCGTCTCTCCTTCCATTATTCTTCATGTGACACAGGAAATAATCAAACCATCAGACAGAAGCAGTTTGTCTCTGTTCTGTAGTTGTTGGTAAATAGTAAAACGCTCCATTAACAAGTGAAATTCAGCATCTTTATG